TAAAATAAAATTTTGAAAATATAAAAAGGATTTTTATATAACATAAAGTTTATAGTTAATAATAAATTATAAAAAAAAGAGTTCAATAAATAATTTATAAGTAACACATAATTCATCAATAATTTTTTATTGAATAACAATAAATAAATAAATAAAATCAAGAGAAAAATTGAATTTTGAATCTTTTTTTTAAATTTTTGTAAGAACAAAAAAAAAATCTTAGAATGATGATTTGCAGAAAAGGAGAGAGGAGAGAGGAGGATCGATAGGGAGAGAGGAATGAGTATTTTTTGAGAGAAAGATCTTTTTGAAAAAAAATAACTCTCTTAATAAGCTAGCGTGTTTTTTTAAAAAGAAAAAGAAAAAGAGAAGAGAAAGTTTTAAGCTTTTTTAAGATTTTATTCTTTAAAAAAATTACTTTTTTTTAAGAGCATTTTAAAAAATTCTATTTGGCCTAGCTTTTACATTTAAGTAGTAGATAAAATAAATATAAATCAAGCCAAATGAGCATTTAATCTATTCCTTTTATACATGAGGGAGTGTAAGGGTGTCCTTTCATTTATTTTTATTTAATAGAAAATTTTGTAATCAAGTTTAGCATGTTAAGAGCATCCAATTGGCCATACTACTAAAGTTTGTGCTGAACCCATGTCACTTATATTTAGTATTAAGTAGTTTCACACCAATTTGACACTTAGACAAGCTTCTTGATACATAAGGGATCCATCTTTAAATTAAGAAATAAGATAGTTCTAATATTTAACTTAGCCTAAAGTTTGCTATTAGTTTATATTTTGATTTTTCTTGCTTGGAGTGGTGGCTTTTCGAAAGAATTAATAAAGTAAAGGAACAAATTCACAAAAAGGATGAGAGCAAAAAGAAAAATATGCTAGCACAAACCAAGGTTCATGAACTATACAATCACAATATTGCAATCATAATATTAAATGGGTTTTAATCTTTTCCACCCAAAAGGAGAAGGGAATCTCCCAAGTTTAGAAAGAATAATAATGGGTTAGATAAGAATATTTAATTTTTATTTCCCAATTTATTAATTGTTTGATACAATTAATATTCTATATTTTTCTCCATTGCTAAGGTTCCCTATAGGT